TCACATACAAAATACATTTCTGTTTGATGGAATCTATATATATATATATGAAGTGGTCCAAACACGCATAGGTAAACCGAAAGCCACACTCGATGTTCGGACTGGAACGTCAGGAGGACAAAAATTGATTGACCCTCTTTAACCTAATTGCAATGGCCTCCAACCTAGAAGCGATGGCCTCCAACCTAAACGCATGGCCTCCAAACTAATAGCGATGGCCTCCAACGACATGAACACTGGTTGAACAGGTACTAGATGGTATTATAGATTACTATATACAGTAGATGTAACAATGAGTTATCGTACAATGAATTAACATATTGGCAGCCCCTTCAAAGTCATGGCCTGAAATACTCCACTCATCTGCAGTTTCACACAGTGCACTTCCTATATAAACTGATCTTGCCAATGTGTCCTTGTCGCACAGAGTTTGGTTTCCTTTTGCCAAACCTGCTGCAGATTGTTGAATTTGCTTACCCGGCCCATCTCCCACATGGATTTCTCGACTCAGATCGAGTGCGTGGGCTAAGCGCCCAAGACATGGAGCCAAACTGGACGAGCTTGGGCAAGTCAGCCCCTCGCCACAGGGCTGACACCAGAAGGCATCTGGCGGCACCGGGAGCGTTCAGGTGCATATGGAGGTTCACACGGAAAGACTGGGAGACTGGGTGAAGCCATTCAAACAGAACGAACTCGGCAAAATTAGTTGAAGCACAAAGCAAACGATTTTGCCCTCCCCTCCAATTCGCAACCCGTCTCACAACCCAAAAGCCTTTGGAGGACACGTGGCCAGCGATGTGTGAATGAACAGCAAAAAGTTGTGTTCACTTGAGTCTAATCCACAAAACTGAAACTGTGGCCCTTGAGTCCAATCAAGAGTCTAGAGAAGCTGTGCAAGCTACTTTCTTCTTGGGGGAAGTTCACTGAATGTCAAAATGTTGGCGTCTTTCAACAAGAAAATGCCAGGCTCTGAAATCAGAGCAAAACATCGCTGCCATATGAGTCAACCTGTGAAAAAGAACGGGCATCAACCCAACACTCCTCAAGCGGATCGCGCCCAACACTCGTCGTCGGCATCCAACTGCCCACTTCAGTCCTGTAGGATCCATGTCAATGGAGTTCTGGTCGCAGCCGCAGTCAGAGGCAGCAACAGATTCTGCAGAAGATGTTTCGGAAACGGGTTTTGCACTGCATTCTTTCGGATACCAGTGATTGTGATTCTGATTTGTCATCATGTGCTCAGGGTTAACATCTCGTGGAACAAATAGGCTCAATTAGTAAAATCAATAAGCCGCCAAATAGAACTCTACCGGGGTTCCTTCCTCCACGGCCCCAAATCTTGCCATATTCATTCCGGTTGTGGATCGCCCCACGCGTGTGCCACTTTTGGAAGGCGGAACATGGGGTGTCACGTGGCGTGCGACCTGGGCCAAACGCTTTGGTCACATTGAAACACCAAGAAACCCAAACAGCTACGACAGCTAACCCATCAATTGCTACCGGGTCACGACAATATGTTTCTGAAACCGGCAACATGTCAACAGTACTATTACTGGCGCCCTTGAAGTTCAAGATTCATGGTGACTGTTGTATTGGTTTTCAGTTCGAACGCCTATCCAGCACAACTTTGTATTCCAATCTCCTAACTCTAAGGTGCCCTTCGGTAGACCAACATGCAGATTGCCCCGTTCGCTTTTCTCGGTGTTCGAGAAACCATGTTACGCAAACATGCCCATCCCCTGCTTCAAAACATGCCACTCATAGACAAAAATCATTTGCATATTGAAACGCTCGTACAAACAGGGTTCTGTACAGCTCTGGGCTTAGGTCGTGCCTCAAGCACATTAGACTTCCCACCCCATAAGGCACTGTGTAAGTTGAACGCTGTTCAACGTTGTTCGCACACAGGCGACTCAGGTTTTCGACCGACCGCAACTGACCCACTCAAGGCGGGTGGGACTCGCCCTTGTCAAAGGGCTGCGCTGTGCGGCGCCTTGTGTGCCGTGTGTTTTCGTTTGCTGGTCAACTTCGAGCGCGACTACCACATTTGCATTGGTAGCGGAGCACCGGCTCCAGTGACCTTCGCTTGAACTTGCTATAGAGGCCCTACGTCACCAACACTTAGCCGAGCACGAGATTGACCTCGCTCCGTTGCTCTTTGGTTGAGTGCTACCTCCATGCCATGACCGACGCAGGCTGCAGATCCACAAGCGGCGGAATTCCAGAATCTGCGCGACTCCTATGTCCCCCTCTTCAATGGCCAGCCGGCGGAGTACAAAGAGTACCACAAACGGCTCACCCTGTACCACAAGAAGATGCTGTTGAGCAAAAGAGGAGGGGAGGCCGTGCTGAACATCATAAGCTCTCTTTCTCCTGTACGGCCAAGACTACAAGGCTGGTGGATGGTCTCCCGATCGCCGACCTCAAGCTCGCTGGAAAGGACGAGGCTACGCAGCCTTCGATGAAGAGCCTCTGGACTCCAATTGGGACGGGGCCTACTATGAAGATGAGACTGGTACGAGGCTGACGAGCCCTATGTTCCGGACTATGAGGACACAGCCTTTGACGATGAAGCCATCTACTATGGAGGTGAAGATGAGTTTAACGAAGACTATGATGGCTATGAAGAAGATGCAGCATCCATGGCTGAGGCCTACCGGTGGTCGCCCTGACTGATGGTCAAACAGCTGCCGCATCATCCTCCACGACACCAACAGGCCGAGGAAAGGGTCACGACAAAGGTCGTGGGAGTCGTGGGAAAGGAAAGGGCAAGTCCAAGAACAAGGGAAAGGGCACACACCATTCGCTACCCTCCATCGACACAAGGCAAGGCCGATCCAAAAGGAAGAGCAAAAGCTGCCACGGCTTCCATGACCTGTCTTCGTTGTGGACAATTGGGTCACTGGGCCGCATCATGTCCGCAAAACGCTAAAGGAAGTGCATCACCCAGCAACAAGCGTCCGGCTCCTAGCACCACTACGACTGAAGGCATGGCCGTAGATGAGCATGGACAAGATCATCCCGAAGCAACGATGCTGGATGCTGGTGCTTCAGCCTTCTTGAGTGGCTATGGCCCTTTCAAGCGCTATGTGGCGCACTGAGCGAGCTCGGCTATCCTGTGAACACCATCAGGTTCGCCCGCTGCGAGAGGAACTTCCAGTTCGGCGGCGATGCGTCTTCATTGGCTCGCTGGACTGTTGACTTGCCGGTCATGATCGATGGCCAGTGCGGCACCATCCAATGCTACTTGATCCCTGGCAACACGCCCATGCTGATGGGAAGACCGGTCATCGAAGCGCTCCACAATGGGCATCGACTTCCGTGGCAAACAAGTCCGGTTTGAAAGCATCTCCTTGGCACCCGTTTCTTCGAGGTCGACATGGTGAATACTTGTTGTCGCTGACAAATGGTATGGATCCTGTGCCAGATCCCACCAAGGCCGCCTTCGTGCTCAACATCGCTGAAGAAGTTCCTGGAAGTCACCTGTTCCTGCATGACTTCAACCAGATGGAGCACATCTTCCTGGCAGGCGACCAAGTTCTGGAGGACAATGGACTGGCCTACCAACCCTTGCGACGACATCAGCTTCACACCATGGAGATTGGATTGGTCACAGCTGCCAATCAGACTGAAGCCTATGTCACCCAAGAGCTACATCGTGAAGCCCCTGCGCAGCGTGTTCTTTGGGAGGTCTACTGTGGCCGAAGCAGAACTTCACAGCTGGCAGAAACTATGGGCATGCGTGTTGAGCGCTTCAGTCTGGACAACGGCTGGGACTTCAACCTCCTGGAGCACCAGCACCTTTTCCTCAAGAAACAGCTCGAGGAGATGCCAGATGAGATCCTCCTTGCGCCGACGCGCAAGCTCTGGTCAAGGATGCAGACATTGGCCTGTCGCACTGAGGCCGAATGTGAAGCTCTCATCGCCAGTTGTGAACACCTTGCGCTTCTGCAAAAAGATCTACATGAATCAAGTTGAAGGAGCAATGCACTGTCATCTCGAACAACCTCGGTTGGCCCCCAGCTGGAAGACCACAGCCTTGCGAACTCTTCCTGGCTATGCAACTGAGTTCGATCAGTGCCGCTATGGAGCTCAATGCCTTGATGTGGATGGCTCATGGAAACCAACGCAGAAGCCAACACGAATCCAGACCACCAAGAAGGCCGTTGCTGAAGCTATGCGCCTTCTATGTCAACATGATCATGAGCACTGTCGCCTTGAAGGCAGTGCACCAGGTTTGGGACCCCGCACCACCTACATGGAAGACTACCAACCTGGCTTCGCAGCGACTCTGGCAGCTGCAATCATGCAACCTGAGCTGCCTGACCTCATCATTGGGAATCAGCCCATGCTGTGAGCACCGCCAAACTGCCGGCGACCTGGTGTCAAGCTGCACGCTGAACATCGTGCTGACGCTCTTCGGACCGTCCAACGACTCCATAGGAATCTTGGCCATCCATCTCCAGATGCACTGGCCGATCTCCTTGTGGCCAGATCAGCCACGTCCACCGTGGTTGATGCTGCTCGGAAGTACCAATGCGTAGCATGTGCCAAATACAAGAAACCCAACGAGGTCGCTCCTGCTTCAATGCCACAGAGTCGCAACTTCAATGACACCATTCAGGCAGACGTCTTCTATTTGAAGATCAACGATCGCAAATGGGCTGCGTTGAGCTTGGTCGATGTGGCTACTCGCTTCATGGCTGCTTGCTGGACGACGAGACCTCTGACTCCTATGTCATGGCTCTTGAGAAGATGTGGCTTCGACACTTCGAGCCCCAAAGATCCTGGTCACCGATGAAGGAAGATCATGGCTGGGGGCATCCATGGAAGCTTGGACCACTTCGATCATCAAGTGGCTCCTGGCGAAGCTCATGAACGACTCGCCCTGGTTGAACGCAGACATGCAGTGCTTCGCAAAGCCATCGAAGTGTACCTCAGTGATCGCAAGCTCAACAACAAGAAGGGCATTCGAGAAGCCATCACTCACATCATACCTCAGCAAAATGGAACTCCATCTGTTGCTGGCTTCTCACCTTCGCAGTGGGTATTGGGCTATCAACCAGAGCTCTCCCACCTCTTGGACACCAACCTGAATCTGACAGGACAGGTACCAATGAGAGCTTTGAAGCCAACCTTGAGAAGAGGACCGCCACCAAGATTGCCTTGACCACAGCTGATGCCGATAGCAAACTGCGGCGAGCTCTTGGACGCCAGAACAAGGAGTTCATGCTGGGAGAGCGAGTTTGGTTCTGGAGAGATGCTGCTAGTCAAGGACTTCTCAACAAGATCCGTTGGCTTGGTCCTGCACACGTGGTCATGCGAGAGGAACACACTCCTTCAGGTTCCGACAAGCCTCAAGTCAAGACATACTGGCTGGCCTACAAGACCCAGCTGATCCGCGCAGCACCACATCATGTGAGAAGTGACATCCTTGGCCCTGAGCATGTGATTCACGACCTCCAGAAGTCCCTCAACATGGTGAGACAGCTGAAGTCAAGAGGTGTGACCAGATGGTATGACCTCAGTCGTGTCAATCGCCAACGCCTTGATGACGTTGATGATGATGATGATGATGATGAACAGGTTGATGACCCCAATGGCTCGCTTGATGAAGGAACAGCACTTCCACCTGCTCGACGACTTCGATTGCATCCACCAGAGCATGAAGAGCCTGATGAGCCACTGGTTGTAGATGCTGAAGAGTACTCACCAACATCCCCACCACACTCTGGCTTTGCTCCTACATCACCTACGGGATTGATGGCACCACCACTGCTTGAACAAGAGGGAACAGAGCTCCCACCTCCAGTCATCACGACCACGTCAGCAGCACACATTCCAGTACCACTGTCACTGCCTGCATCACCTGCCCCCAGGCGATCAAGATCACAACCGCCATCCCCCAGTCTGGCCGAACCTGGTGCTGAACCAACTGCGCCAACACCTCATGCACCACAGGCCACACCGAGCTTGGATCCAGCCACAGCAGCACTGTATGAACCAGTTGATGCAGAATCTTTTCAAGAGAGACGCAACCGCTTCAACCGCCAAGAGACTTTGAGCTTTGGTCCATGGCGTCACCGCTCATCGAGCCGCAGATCCATATGAACCACCAGAACATGGCCCTGCTTCTGCTCCTATGGCACCTGCTTCAACGGCTGACACCGCAGAAGACTCAGCACTCTTGTCTCAGGCGTTTATGGTTGACGAGCTTGCTGCCAACTCTCTACCTCGTGGTTGGACCTTCGATCATGGTTACTTCCAATTGGAGAAGCATCCAATGGACTACTGGGAAGTCCGTGCTGGCTGCATGATTCGTCATCACCTCACTCCACCATTTCCTGCCTCGCAACTGGACAATGTGCGCGTGACAGTGATCTATGACACCAATGGTCGCTGCACACAGCAGACTGATGATGGCACCTGCACTACAACATCATGCGACTCCTCCTGGACTGGCGTCACCGTGTTTCAGATCAAAGGTCATGTGAGAAAGGAGTATGCTATGTACGTGAAGGAGCCACCGGTGGGGGCCCGCCAAACGGGCAAGATCACCAAGCAGCGACATGCCAAAGCCTTCAAGAAAGACAAGAACAACCTCACGGAGCGCGCAATGACTCCAGAAGAGCGAGCTCAGGTCTGGACTTTTGAGACCACCAAGGAAGCTGAGCCATCAAGAACTTTGACAAGCCGCACGCTGCTCAAGTGGTCAAAGAATCCTGATGGGACTCCTCGCACGAAGCGCGTGGCTCATCGTCCGGGGATTCATGGACCCAGATGCCTGGGAAGGCACTGTACCTATCTTTGTGGAGTCATCATGACGCACGTTGATGATACGCTGGGTTGCGGATCTGGGATTCCACATGCTACCACTCCGTCATCACCAAGCTCAAGGCCACGTTCAACTTCAGAGAGTGGAAGACGGGAGTTGACGGCTCCGACTTGTCGTATTGTGGCTGTGATATCAACAAGCTCACTGAAGCTGGTGGCTACAAGATCGAGCAGGACGCTTACACGAAGAAAGTGAAACAAATCACCATCGACAAGCGTCGTGATCCTGCCGAAGCTGCCTCAGAGAAGGACGTGCCTCAACTCAGGGCCTTCCTGGGCTCATTACAGTGGCCCGCCGTGCAGTCAAGTCCTCATCTACAAGGAAGCACATCGCTCTTGAGTGGCTGCATCTCAAAGGCATGCACACAAACGATGATGGACTGCAACAGGCTCCTCAAGTTTGCCAAGGAGAACTCAGACGTTGGCTTGGTTTACGACCACCTCGGAGCTGTGCAAGAGTTGAGATTGCTGTGTTTCTTTGACGCCGCCTTTGCCACCGCAAGTGACAGCAGTTCACAACTTGGCTACATCATTGTCCTCATCCACAGCTCACTCCTACAGCCCGATGGACCAGAGGGAGCTTACCACATCCTCGACTGGAGAAGCCAAAAGACTCCACGTGCGGCAAGACCATCCTTGGATGCTGAAGCCCAAGCTGGTGGACAAGCGTGCGACGCCCTGGAACATGTTTGCGTGTTTTGGAGCTGCCTCCTCGATCCACGACAGAAGCTACAAGACCTCCTCGACTGCAAGTCACCACTCGCACCAACAATGGTGACAGATGCCAAAGCGCTCTACGACTCGTTTCATCGCGAGGGCTATGGCAACTCAGTGGTGGACAAGCGAGTGTCATTGGAAGTCAAAGTGATGAAGGAATTGAAGGAACGCTTGCTGACCCTTGGAGGAAATCTTCGTTGGATGTCGTCGGAACGACAGCTGGCTGATGGCCTTACAAAGGAAGCTGCCCGCAACTTGTTGGCACAACGCCTTTGCTACGGCAAGCTCAAGCTCATCTGGGACCCTATACATACAAGGCCGCCAAGAAGAAGACAAAAGATCAGTTGAAAGCCAGTATCCAGGAGAGCACCTTCAGCCCAGCTGCCAAAGCAGATGAGCATCATCAAGCTCCACTCCAAGAGGCTGACACAGGTCATGAGGAGTTGGTGAATGAGGCTGAACCTGCGGAAGAGTATGTGCACATGGCCATCACCGAAGACACAGTCTCCTACCTCATGGAGGCCTATGAGTATAACATCCCTCCTGAAGAACATGAGGCCCTTGTGAATGACCACGCTGCTTCTCCGAGCCATGTCGAAAGCCGCATGCCGAATGTTGCCGAGCGTCGCCTGCTGAATGCCCTGAGGTGGGCGCTTGTTTTGTTGCTACTGCCTGGAGCGATGGCAAGCACCATGACGGTCATCACCATCCTCAGTTTGCTGGCAAGCACGCTGTTTCTCTTGGGCCGATGGAGCCGCATGGAGTTGGCACCCTGCAGAAAGGTGCATTGTGTTGATGCCACCACTCAGACCGAGGGCACCACGGTCTCCGGTCGTACTGAGATTGAAATGTGGACTTCGAACCTTGGAAGCTCAAAGCTCTGCCATGGAAAGCCGAAAGGCCTTGGACCTCTCCATTGCCAACATGAACTATGTAGGTGAGCTCACCTACCGCGCTGGCAACATCCTTCGCCGGTGTCTGAGAGAGATGGACGCTCATCGACTGGAGTGCCCCTTGCACTTGGGAAATTTCCACGCATGGCCGAAAGCTGCGTGTGAACCAAAGCTGCAGCTCGCTGGAAGGGAGAGATCCTAGGAATGTGGATCAATATGATCTTTGTAGCCTGTGCAGCACAAGAATCCTTCAGACAACATCACCATGTCTGGAGGCACGTCCTTGAGGACTGCCCAGGAGCATTCACCGTAGCTGAGTCACCAAGTTCAGAGGACACACAAGATCCTCTTTCCTCCTCTGTAAGTTGAACGCCGTTCAACGTCGTTTCAGGTTTTGGGCCGACCGCAACTGACCCACTCAAGGCGGGTGGGATTCGCCCTTGCAAAAGGGCTGCGCTGTGCGGCGCCTTGCGTGCTGTGTGTTTTCGTTTGCTGGTCGACTTCCAGCGCGACTACCACCTTTGCACATTGTATCAAAGGCAATGCAGTTCAATAGAATAGACAACTATACAGGTTAGAGAATCTGCTATAATTCACCAAAGCATGGGATCGTCCAACTCCAAAATGCGTTGGTCAACATGTTCTTTTTTTAATCATTTTACTACTTCCGCAGAATCTGTAACCACCACTCGGCCCACTCAGCCAGCCCATGCCAAGAGGCGTAAGCCAAGAGTGGTCGTTCCTGCTGGGCAAGCCTTGCACACTTCGGTACCTTCCTCGTCCTAGCGCTCAGGTCTGAAATTTGAGTGGAGTTCGAACAAGCTTTGCAAAACAAACACTTGTGTTTTTTCTCATGCTATTGGATAAGTAACTCCTTGTTTTGCTGAGCGAGCGAGGGAGTGCCTGCCTGCCTGCCTGCGTGCCTGCCTGCCTGCGTGCGTGCGTGCGTGCGTGACCGTGCGTGAGTGATCGGCTTCCACTTAAATCCACCGGCAAATGCAAATACCACCATGAACCGCCAAATTCTCCAGCCCCAAAGGGAATTACACGGAGAAACAAAACTGATCCTGGGTGAGTTAAATTATAGTATGTTTCATTAATTTTGTTCACCTCGCCTCGTTTAACTTCAAAACATTCGGTCACCTCGTTGGGGGAGATCCGGCTGCAGGCTTTTGGAGAGAGGTTTTGCCCCTGGCATTGGGTGGCCTTCCTGTAAGTTGTGGAGACTACACCTCTCCACGCCCCACCCTGCTCAGCACAAAATAAGGCCTATTTCTTAAACATAGGTTGTTTTTTCGTCTTGGCAGATTCCAGGGACCTGCCTGGCATGGTGGGTGGAGTCCCTGTAGCTTGTGGAAACTACACCCAGCAGTAGCCTCTCCAAGCCTCAAAACCTTCAAAGCATGCTCGGCTCAAAACCGGACCTATTTCTTAAAAGTGGGTTGTTTTTGTCTTGACGGCTTCCCTATTCTTTGTCGTTTTTATCAACTTTTATTCTACTTTTCTGAACAGTCCCAGTTTGGCCTATATAGTCGGACAGCTAGGCGCTTCGGAATCGAGAAGGTCTACACTCAAATCCTACCTTGGTTATTTTTTTCCTTGTCCTTGCCCTTTCCTTTTTTGATGCCTTCAAAAACCAAAATAAACATCGGTCCTATTTCTTAAAATAGGTTGTTTTTTGTCTTTGGGGATTGGTGGGGTCTCTGCCCGGCATGGTGGGTGGAATCCCTGCGGCTTGTGGAAACTGCACCCAGCAGTAGCCTCTCCAAGCCCCAAACCCTTCTTGCTGGTGCTGCTATTGCTGGTGCTGGACTTACCTCGCTTATTTTCGTTTTGAAATTATTCTACCTCGTACCTCATCAGGTGAGCTCACCTTGATTTACACAAACTGATTCCTCCGCTTTGGCACTGTTTCCCGTGGCATAGCCGGAACTGTTTGACACCAGTTGATTCGGTGAACTTTACACCAAAAATGGGAATGGTGAGCTCGACGGTCATCAGCCCATGTCCTCCTCGACTCGGTCCCAACAGTCCTGATAGGTACTGATGGGGCAGCGGTTGCACGTCTTTTGTCCTGTCTCACCTTGATATTCGCCTCAAGAACGAGTGGATCAGTCAGGTACTTTCTTGCCTTTCCAAAAGCCCCACTAGTTTTGGATCCATCTGGTATAGCAAAACCATCAGTGCCGTCCATCAAATCCAGCATGAGTTTGCTTCAGTCTCAGGAAGGAGGCCGAAGAGGGTAGCGGTACCTGAATTCAACATTCAGTATATTGTATCACACACATCTTCAATGCACTGCACCATGGCCGGAAATGCTGCAAGAAACACTTGCGATTACTCAACGACATCACCAAGTCGCAGATCCAGCGCCAGGGTGGGCCATTTCCCTCTTTAAACATGTGAACAAAACGCCAGTTGACTGCACCCTCAAAACTCAAACTTCTCCCATTCTTCAAAAACGTCGCCCCGGCGCCTTGCTTGCATGGCTTGCAGGACGATGCGGCTCCAAGTGGCTGACTGGTGCCTATGCAAAGGAATATTCTGGATCGAAAGACCATGAGCGACGAGGGCACTCATGCAGCGACGAGAAGTCTTGCCTCGCAAACCACATGATTATAGTAACAAGAAGCTACTAGGGCCTAGTTTACTAGGGGCTCCTGGCATCGCTACTAGGAGCAAGGACGCTACTAGGGGCTCCTGGCCTTACTACTAGGAGCAAGGACGCTACTAGGCCCTTCAAGCGATGGCGCTTGCCCAGGGCTCACGTGGATTTGGTACGGTAGGTGCACCGTACTTGATCCTTTGATCCGACTCGGTACGCGGTCGTAGGGGACCTGAACATGTCTTATTCAATCAATCAACTTACCTCACCCGAATGGGTCTATGGTCCAGGTACGTCGTCGCGACGGTGAGTGGCCATGTTCACGAGGTTCCTACATCCCCGACCTTTTAGCCGTCCGTGCCAACAACGTACTATGCCAACATTATTGGAGCTATAGAACCCTGGAAACACTGTTTGAATGTGGATCCCTCAGTTAACCCATGTCAACCCTACATCTCCATATCACACACTCAACTAGCGGCCAATGGCCATGGCTTCTCGCTTTTTGATTTCAATCTCCGTCTCGGACCGTCCGTAGGACTTATTGGCCATGTCAGAGTTGGACACACTTTGACACTGGTTTTCCGTTAAAGCTCAATTTCTCCGATGAGAAAGAAGGTGATGGAACGGCATGGTGGAGAGTCTGAAAGACTTGTAGGTGTTTCAACATTGAAAGTTGTCATCTGCAGAAACACGCGAGCGACTGCGTTGAAAGGCTGCAAAAACCGCGTGGCTGCTGCAAGTGGCTGAAAGGAGAAAGGTTTGGGGGAAGTATCATGAACCACCATGGAAACAAAAAAGGAGATTGGACAGCTTGTGCAAAAGTTGTGGCAGGTAGGTACACACCAAAGCGTCCTCTGGTGCTTCCCCTGTCACATCCCAGCTTCGTTGGGCCAGGTTGGATGTGACAGGCCTGGCCCCCCTGCCCATGTAAAGTGGTAAGAGTGGTGGTGGAAGACCCTTTGTCCAGGGTTGGACACACACAGGTCGCCGCTTTTCGGCGCTTTTTTCAAAAACCGGTGGCAGGCGTGGTAGTTATGCCCCTTTTGGACATATAGGTTCACGAGTTCGGCCGCAGCAGCGTCAGCGCTGGAGGGTGGACATGTGTATTTTCGAATGGTGTGGAGTCGTGATTGGAGGCCTGATAGAGCCAAGCGCTGGCTCCCGGCGGTTGTGGAATCCCGGATTTTCCAGGGTTGAGAAGGTTGCATGTAGGTGATAGTGCGTTGTGGGAGGTCGATGTTGAAACCGAGGAGATGAAAATCCTCCACCGGTTCTAGTTCCACAGGGTCGCCAAAGAAATTGTGGTGGATAAGGGTTTGGATAGCCGGGTGCTGAAGGAAATGTTCGTTGTGGACAATGAAACGGTTGTCAACATAGCGATAGTAAGTAAAGTGGAGGTCTGTGTGTTGAAGGAGGTTGTTGTGTATCTGATGCCAGGAGTGCTCAATGAGGGTGATAGCAACGTTGCATAGGGCTGGAGAGAGCTGGGATCCAATCCCGGCCCCTCGGATTTGTTTGTAAGTGTTGTTGCAAGCCCGGAAAATGCATGTGTTGAGGGCAAAAGCCACAATGGTGGTGATGTCGGAAGTCTGGATGGTGCGTTGGGTAGGGTGTTTGCGATGGTGTCTGCCAATGTGGGAGTGGTGGAAAGGATTGCCGGTGGCCTGGACATCCACCGTTAAGGTGTGTGTGGATTGCTGTTGTTGCCAGTGGAGGACAAGGGAGTGGACTGCATCGATGAGTCGGTGCTGGGGGACGGAGTTGAAAAAGCCGACCAGGTCATCGTTGGTGGCGTGTAGTGAGATGTCGGGTGGGGTTTGGGCGAGGTAACTATGGAAGTGGTGCCAAAGCTGAGGAATGGACATTTGGCCTGGATGCTGAGGGTAGAGGTGTTGGAGGATAATGTCCAGGGCACGGCTGGTGATGCGTAGCAAGTTGCCGCTTAGTGATTGGAAGTAGGATATAATTGTACGGCCTTTTTGCCAGTGCTTCTTCTCTTTGAGGTGGACAACACCGTAGGGGATGTTGAAGTCTTTTCGGAAGCCCCACTTGTAGCGGGTGCGCAGGATGGGGGGGACAGTGGCGGCCAGGTGGTCATGGATGTTGGCGGCAGTGATGTAGGGAAGTGGTTCAAATAGTTCAGGGGATTGCCAGGTGTTCAAGGCGCCAGTGAAGTATTGGCGAGGGCAAAACAGTCGCAGTTGTTGGAGCTCATGATCGGCATGGTGGAGTAATGTGTGTTTACCCAAATGTTCTTGGAGTTGACGAAGCAGGCGGGCCGTAAAACGGGGTTGGTGCTTTAGGTGTGTGTTGTGAAGGCGCCATTGGTGCTCAAGGAAAGGCTGTAGGTGTTGAACTAGGGATGGTGGAAGCCCCTGTAGTTTGAGCCATTTGGTGTAGGCCGTCTTGAAAATGAGGAAGTACCGAGCTTTGCTTGGGTAATAGGTGCTGTTCATATTGGCGTTGAGAAAAATGCTGAGGTGTGTAGGGAGTTGGAGTTGGTCAAGTGTAAGGATGTAGTGGCCGTTGATGGTAGGGGTATCGGGATCCTGCAGGAGGGTGCGAAGGTGATCGCATGCACAGGGGAGGTCTGCTGGATCTGGCGGGGAGTGGAGGGTGTCCTCCCATGTGCGATGGTTGTGCAGGTGGGAGCGGAGGGTTTTGTGGGCGGCTTCTCTCAGTCTGTGGGAGGGGAGGTGGAGGGGAATGGTGAAATGCTTGTGCTGCTGGATGGTAGTACGAAGCCATTGTTGGCAGTGCTTGGTAAAGTCGTCATGGGCCAAGAAGGGCGCTGTCAATGGGATGTTTGGTTTTGGTGGCGTGAGGTTGCGGTAGATCAAGGCTTTGTTGAGGATGTGAAGAGCTCGGCTGCGGCCAGGTTCTTCCAAGTTTGCGGCCATACGTCGGATTGCATACACCTCGAGGTCCGTGTGGCGGCCGCTTCTTAGCTGTTTTGCTGCCTCAAAGGAGGCTGCGGTGTGTTTGGTAAGGTTGCGAAGAAGTTGGAGGGCGTGATGCTTAGTGGAAGTGTAGAGGTGTGGTTCTCTGAGGGTGTACTGGCGTTGTCGAAGGCGTCGGAAAAGTCGTTTGTGGGTGGCTAATCTGGAGTAGAAGTGGGCTCTGTGTTTCGCGAACTGCCATCCCTGAGCTTTGAGTTTGAGGTGGTGGGAAATGAAAGGCCAGTTGAGTGAAGGCATCCAGTTGGCGATGTAGTGGTGCTCTTGGATCCAGGCTTGGTCGTATGTGTCATGGGAGGTGAGTTGAATAGTGGTGTAGTGGTGGATGTTGTTGTGTGAATGCCAATAACGTAAGGAGAGTTCTGCAGAAATGGGAATGTTATTTTGGAGTTGTTTTAGTTTGGCGCGGCGATTGTGCTCGCGGTGGGGGATGCCGATAGCTGTGGAGCCAACGTAGAAGTGGCCATGCTGATGGTAGCAGCGTTGGGGCTGGTCGGGATTGAAGTGGAGCTTGATGTAGACGGAATTGGAAGAGAGGAAGTTGTGGTAGTGGTAGGTGTGGGGTAAAATGTGGAGCTGGCGGAGACGGTTGCGCCATTGTTGTGAGCGACGGGTGTTGGACGGGTATGCGAAAAGGAGGGTGATGTGGATGAGGCCGGTTGCAAAGATGGCCTCGGCGCGGTCGATGTATTGGGTGCGGTGGATGAGCATGGAAAGTGCTCGGTGCAGGTGGAAGAGTTGGGTGAGGTTGGTGTGGCTGGGTTGCTGCTGGGCCAGGATGGCGAGTCAGCAACCGATGGCTGCTCCGACTCCCACCAGCTGTTGTAGGCTGCGAATGGGGAGTCGGTTGACCCGGTTGAGGGGTAGGCCATACTTGGTGGCTGCTTCTTTTAGCTGCTGCGTGGTGACTTTGCTTGTTTGCAGCAGTCGGATGACTTCCGTCGCAGCTTCTTGGATGGTGGGGTCGAAGGTAGTGACCCATTGTTGGATCTCTGGGTGGTTCCAGCCTTCGGGGATATCGTCTTGCAGCGTGGGGTGTGGTGGTTGCAAGACGTCGGTGATGGCTGGTGGTTTCGGTGGTGGTGGCGTGGGTGCGTGAGAAGGGGCGGCTGGTGCGGAAGATCGGCTGGTGTTCTTGACTGGTGTGAGTGGGTTGCCCAGGTCTTGGAGTTTCTGACGTGCGCGAGCCAGTTCGTCGTTGGTGTTTTTGAGGGCGCGTAGAGCGGAGCCTTCCGCAGGTGCTGGAGAGTGGGTTTGCAGTTGGTCGATAAGCAGTTTGATGAGGGGAGCGTGAAACGCTCGGGCATGGGTAGTTTTGTTGGGAATGTCTGTGCTCTGTTGGGTGTGGAGAGCCTCCGCGATGCCGTCAAGGTCAAGGCGGTTCTCGCGGAGTTGTTGGAGAAAATGGGTCACGAAGACTGACTCCGCTATGCTTCTGGTGGCAATGAAACCTGTGAATTTGCCGTTGCTCAGGGTACGGGCGGTGAACTCGGAGGTACCGTGGTAAGCCAATTGCCACGGGAAAACCTCAAAGGTGGGGAGTCCGGCCACTCCTGCTTTTCGAGACCACTGGGTGGGTTGGATTGTACGATGTAGTTGGTGGCCGTGCAGGGTGTTGGAGTCCCAATGTTGCTCGGTTGGGTTCCAGGAGTCGGGAACAGGTGGTGTGGGAGATGGGATGTGTGGGGGTGGTGGGGCAGGCGCTGTGTTGCCACGTGTGGTGGGTGGTGGCGGTGGGCTGTGTTGGAAAGTCGATGGTGGTGGAGTAACGGGTTCGGCCGTTGGCAGGGGTGGCGGTGGCGGAGGTGGAAACTCCGGCTGTGAGGTGGATGCCTGGGGTGGGGGTGTATGCTGCGATGGCGGTGTGTACGGTGGAGTCACATATGGGTTGGAGTGGTGGACGTGGTGTGTACGAAGTGCGTGAGTGAGTGGGCCGTAGGTGCCTGTGGGGCTGTAGGCGTG